AAAATTGTGGTCATAAAATAAATACATTAAAAATGTTTAATGTAAACGTTTCAAATAAAAAACCTGTGAAAATAAATTTGATAAAGTGCAAATAAAAATAAAGCCTTTTTACAACCAGAAGCTTCTCTTCATATTAGTGACAAACAATAACTGTAACAACAGCTTTTTGACAAGTTTAAAATTTCTTTAAAATACGTTCAAAATGTTTAAAAATAATCTACAGAAATTAATTTGATAAAGTGCTAATTAAAATATAGCTGTATCTGCAACTGTATTAATGTTTTGAACTTTTAAAACTTTTGCATGGTAGAACCAGAAGCTGCTCTTCGTATTAGAGACAAACTTTGTTGTTTTTTGACAGGTTGCCTTCATTTTGTCTTCTACTTTTCATTTAAAATAGGTTTTAATTCTCGGCTGGTATCTAAAGGTCTTCTTCTACATMTTAAAACAGTTGTTAAACATCTGAGTGGTGCACTACTGCTACTAGTGGTGAGAAAGTGTGTTGTACCTTATTCAAAATCAATGCGGTCTCGCGGCCCTCTGCGGCCCAAAGTTAAAAACTGTYGTTCTTTTGAGGCCCTCAAGGTGGCGCATAGGTTAAGAATCTCTGATTTATGTTTTATAAACTTAAAGACAAACGTCTGTTAATTTTTAAAGCCACGAGTAAAAGCATGGATGCAGCTCCAGGCTTTGATTCKTCAGTAAGCTCTGTTTGACTCTGAAGAAAAGCCCTCAGTGGAGCTGCTGAACGGACTCAGGGGATGTGGGAGGTGCTGTGTGGATTCCTGCTGTGAGTCAAACTCAGCAGAGTGACTCATCAGAGCCAGTGGAGGCAGGTCAGCCCTCTTTAAAGAAACATATTCCCTCGTTCATCCAGCTGCTGTCGCTCTGGAGGTCCTGCACCTGAGGACCAGCTGCTTCTGACCCAGGTGGACTCCAGACTTCAGCTCCTTCCTGCAGAATCTGTCCCTGTTTTAGGGTTAGCTTCTGTTTCACACGTCACCCCCAAACAAACATCTGAATCTCTTCACGGAGCAGCATCCTGAGGGCTGATCAACCATAAAAATATGTCTGTTTCCATGGAAACAGTTTATTGATGTGTGTGTGACATCATCCGTGAGGAACCAGTTTAACAACAAGGAGAGGAAACAACTCCCAGAGGACATATAAAAGGAGACACTAAATGTAAAGTCTGTCAGCTCTTTTCACCCTCGGCTCACCCTCACCCTGCTGCAGGTCAGATACAAGGAGGACTTTGAGAAGATGAAGGGTCAGAGTCTGTTTGTTCCTGGAGCTGAACTCATCCACGCCAAGAACATTAGCGCTGTCATCTCTGAGGTCTGCTTTCATCCCTCTCCACCTGCCACCTCTCCTTCATCAGCTTTTTATAAAACCCATGCTCTCTGTGATGGTTTCAGTCAAAGTACAAGGAGGAGGGGAGGAAGGAGGCGTCCCTGTCCCTTTACTCCGTCCTGCCTGAGACTCCAGAGACGCAACACGCCAAGGAGGCCTCAGAGCTGCAGAGCCAGGTAAACGTCAGGACTTCCTGTATCTGTGCACAACACACTCATTTACAGAGACCAACAGAGCAGATACACTGTGAGGAGCTCATCTACAGCTGCTGAAGAAAAGAACAACAAACAGAGTMATAACACATGGTTTCAGACAGAGACAGGTGTCTTTAAAAGATGAGTTCAGAAGATGCAGCTATAAAAAACACATTTATGGAGCTGTCTTTGGGAAGCTCTTGCATTAAAATCTGTTCTGTTTTTGTTTTTAGATTAAATATAAAGGAAACATGAAGACAGAGATCTCCTCGTCTCTTTATTCTCTGATGCCTGAAACCACAGAAACACAGTTTGTTAAAGAGCTGACAGAGATGCTGAGTGAGGTGGGGATGAATGATGACGATGATGATGATGATGATGATGATGATGCCTTTATTGTCATTGTACAGAGCACAATGAAATTACATTTAAGAACACCTATTCAAGAAGACGCACATGACAAAAACATGGGGGAACAGGTGATCAGGTCATGTGGCAATCAGCAGGGGTCGCACTACCTTCAAAAAGAAAAACGAAAAAACCACAGAAGGTTAGATGAGGAGGAAAAAAAAACCTCATACTATATCAACAATGTGACACACTATGGTGTTTATTAAAAAAATACTCTGCATAAAGCAGATTTATTAGCCAGAGGAGTTAGTGAGTTTAGAGGGCGTGTATCTGAAGTCATGAGTGTTG